TATGTTCTATGGGTTTGTAACTTTTCATTAGCCACTTCAACATAAAGAAGTCACATCAACGCTGATCTTACAGTTTGATTTTTAAGCCCCTCCATCATTGGGGTTTTAAACCCTTGCACAGCAGCAGATGCTTGAACTATTTGTAAAAATACTAGCAAGTCTGATCCACTTCATATCCCACTGTCCTATGACATTTCATCTCCCCCAGTCCCTTTTCATTTTTCTTTAATCACATTTAATTTACTAATCTATTAGGTGACCAATTTACCTGTACCGAAATGAATGAGAAAGTGGAAGTTCCAAATGCCTAAGGGCCCAAATAGAATAGTAGCAAGAATTTGGCATTTTGCTTATATCATAAATTCCAGTTTTATGTGATGATAGTGCCTCAAGAGCAATGGAGTAGATTTTCTGCTATTTTAAAAACATTTTCTGGACATCCCTGTATGTACAGGAAAATCCAACTACAAAGCACCAGAGAAGTCCACTGGACCTTAGTAATACATGTATCCTGGGAGCTCCAGGTTGGCTTTAGCTTGACATTGTAGTTAATACTTTCATGGTACAAAGTGACAACACTAACTTGCCTTTTTGGAAGACAAACCTGAAAATCTTCCATTAGCTGCTGTTCTTCATACTATGAAACCACAGTTAGTAGCATTAGAGCAATTCAGAATATTAAATGTTGATTTGAGCCTGGTTTAATGTTTTAGCTTGTTTCAAAGCTGTTAACCATGGTTTTCTGGTTGGGATGAAAAACATCCTGGTTTGTCCATTCACTTGCACAACAGGATGAATTAATGGTAGCTAGATATCAAAATGCTTGTTCATGTCTTGGCTTATTAAAGTGGAGTACCTTATTCAAAATTATAGAAGCAAGGTATCCAATGATTGGCATTCATAGATTCAGGGCAGGAAGTACTCTTTTATATAATGTATAATTAACTGGAGGAGTCACTGCCTCAGAACATGGCGACAGCTATTGTCTAAGTTAGCTGTCAAAGGGACTTAGACATTTAGAATAAGATCTTTCAACACCTCTTAGCCGTGACTGCTCAATGGCTGCCAAGATGCAAACAATTTCATGCCTTGAGGGCTTATATGAATGATCTGGCTAGACCCTTCCCTAGCTCTAACCATGTTGGATATAGAATACTGGACCCTTGGCTGATCTTGCAGTGCTTTTCCAATGGTAAACCGATACAGGTTTGCAATATTCTTTTCTTTTACAGAAATCTGAGGCCGGTGAAAACACAAATGTACCATTAAATGCACTAATTAGTTTTCATTATAGACACAAAGTTATATTGCTGTGGTACTGAGTAATGGCATAATTTGTTTATTTACATCCTCTTCCTCCATAACTCACAAATTACATTTATTAACAGAACAAATGAATATTAAAGTTAGCTAGTAAAAGGTTTCCTTTATTCTTTTAAAGTTGGCCTACTGTATTATAACCAACATTTCTACACACACACTCACACATCCATTCCCTAGTATTATTCTGCTGCCCAGATTACATGCACATAAAATTAAAAAACCCAAGCGGTGGACATACTTGACTAGGTCACTGACCATATCCCTTTATTTGCCCAGTAATACAGTCTGCAGCCAACAGCTAACCAAGTCAATATGCGGGAAGCTTTCTAACAGCTGTTCTAACTTGCCTTGGTAATTATTTTCCTTTAACTGAGCAAGTATTCCATACACTGTCATTGAGCATAATAATCATGCTGAAACTTTGAAGGGTGGAGTATAATTGAACTTTAGCTATGTTATGTCGACCTCTGGCCTAATTGTATATCATGGAGCTTTACACTACTCTGCTCAGGGGCTCATGATGTACGTAGCTGCTTACAATCCAGCATGCACAGAAGGCCTTGTAGACATTACAGCAGAGTTGTGGAAACTACTCACCTGCAGATGCATCTTTAATTCCAACAAGCTTGCCAACACATAGCTACAGCAACTCACCTTGGATGGTAGTAAAACCCCTGCATGCTCAAGAGTCATGGGATAGCTCTGCCCCACATGGTGGTGGGGCATTAAAAGTCACAATGATACAAGGTAATGAATTCAAGAAGAGTCTTCTGTGATCCTGTTAAGAAGTTCTCTGGAAAAGCAAGAGCAGAGTCTTCGAGCATCTTAGAGACTAACAAATATATTGTGACTTCAAGCTACTGCCTGCCAAGGGCTGGAGCTTGTTTCATTAAATGCAGTGTAGCCTCTGTACCATGAAAACTAGTGCCACAATACGTTTGTTTGTCTTTAAAGTGCCACAAGTGTTTGTTGGATTCGATGCAACAGGCTAACACAGCTACCCATCTGGAATAATTTCTGTTACAAATCATTCATGCTAGTATACAATAATTCCAACAGATAATTAAAAAACAGACATTGGCCTGCTTTTTCTACAACATTTATTGCAGCAAGCATCTCCTTACCATGAAGGAGTTATAGAATCTAGTCTTAAGACACTGAATATTTTCACTGATCTTCACTGTACTCTTGAAAACACATGTATTTTAAAGCTCTGTGTAGGAACCCAATCTACTTACCAGTATACTAGCCTTTTTACTCACCTTTTAAACAACATTATTCAGACCCTAGGAATTTACACTTTAATGCATAAGCACACATGGCATCGTTTAGGAGAGAAATGTACATCTGTAAGCACAAGGCATATGCCTGAATCTAAAGCATATGTGAAGGCACATTTCCATGTTTTCAGAGAGGGGGGAAAATCAGTGAAGATCTTTACACTGGATTGAAATTGTACATTTAGGCACCTGTAACTGTTTAAATCCTTTGAACAAATTAATAAGCTCTTGCACCTTCACCACCAGTATGTGTATAACTTTTATATAATTGTCACAGCTTGTTCAGACTTAAGAAATTGTATTTGAAAAATAAAGAGAGAAAGAAAAAGCAAAAGATTATGTAGAGCAAATCTAACATTTATTATTCACCATGAAACTAGCACCCTGAAGGTTGCATTTGAATTATTTCAGTGGGGACTGTACTTAAGGTTTCAGCCTTGGAGTATATAAAATGGAACTGTTCCAGAGCTCACAACAGGTCTTGACAACAATGGTATAAATCCAAAATGAATTACCGCAGATTTTGTGTAAAAAAGCACAGTCTCTTCTTTCATAGATCTGAAGGATTATAACATGGAGAAATGTGCCCCTTTCTTCTAGTACTTTTCCCTCGTAATTTCTGCCCCTGTTCTGTCTCAAAGAGCTTTTAAAAATGCTGTTTGCGAGTGTATAATGAACTAAAGTTTGTATTGCTTTTTCTGCATCTCTGGAAAGCCAGTGCATCTTAACTCCCATGCGCCAGTCTGTGCATGCATGCACACACATGAAAATAAAATAGGAAGCCCATTCAACCCAGACAGACTTGTTTCTGAGTAAAAAGGAACAAGGTTACATTGCTAATAGTGGTTGCAGTCACTTTGGTATTCACATGGCAGAAGCTGTTGTAGCCCTTAGAAGGGAGTTTCCACCTGCATCCACAGCTGACACAAACCCCAAAGGGACATTATTCTACTGTTAAAAGAACTGGCTGAATGCATCTTAGGAATGTTTGGGTTGGTGTGGATGCAACACCAAAACTAGAACTTATGGGACTGGTTTGATTTTAGTAACCATTCTTAAGATCTATCATACTTGAGAGTTCTGACAACATGCTCAGTTGCGGTTAACCTAAAGAAGAAGCAGAAACTTCCAATCCCTTCCTTGTTCCCAATCTCCTTCAGAGAAGAAATGTGTTCAAAGAGGATGAACCCAAGGGGAATTATAGCCAAACACACTCAAGCTTAAATGCAGGAGGTTATTTTTTGTAGTCACAGAGACGGAGTTACAGGTACCATTTGCTTGTTTTACCCTAACTATTCTCTGCAATCCAATCCCTACTTACCTGGTAGTAAATCCCATTGAGTTCAATAGGGTTTATTTCTGAAGAGATATATACAGGGTTACAGTGCCCAAATTAGCTTTCTAGGTATGTATATATTTTAAAGAAGTTAAATGATTTGGAAAAATCTTGCATCTTGCAGTTTAGGTCACCAAGTTCAATAATAGGGCTTCAGCAATGCAATCTTATGCATGTCTGCTCAAAAATTCAGTGTGACCTCATTTCAGACAATTGTGCACAGGACTGCAGTCTTGCTTTTTGCAGTTCTGGCTGTAGAAATTACATATACAATATACATATACATACATACTTCTATATCATCATAAGAACAAACAAATGTATTCTCCAGGAATGCCTTCAGCACCGGTAACTACACTGAATTTATATCATGAGCTAGATGTAACCTGCATATCCTAATGCAGAGTGGATGACTGGTAGCCCTCCAGATTCATTGGCTTCCAATCTCCATCGGCTCTAGCCTACATAGCCAGTCATGAAGGATCATGGGGGTTGTAGGCCCAACAATGGGGAGGGGCACAGGTCACATTGAAAGGGAATGCTAGCAATGTAAACTTGGCATTATTTGTATTCATCTTGGAAATGCCAAATGGATGAACATGCTGTCTTTTAAAAATCTTTATCCTTACTTTCCCAGTGCTGGAACACCTACCCTTACAAGTGGAAAATTTTCACACAAGGACCTATAAATCATATGGTTTCCCCCTCCCCAATTTTCTCATTTTTAAAATATTTATTTCAAACTCGCACTACTGTACATGGCCTAGAAACCTTACTGAAATCAGCAGGACTCAAGTGTGTGTAAGCCAAATATATCAAATCACAGCCCTGATACAAAGATGAACATGAGGACTCTTATGGGTGTACTTTCTGTAGGAATGAAAATTGTGAAGCTTTTAGTATCGCCACCTCCCCTTTTCCATCACACTCAGTTACAGACAATGCATTTAATCCATCTTACAAGAAAGAGAAAAGGGTAAGAGGTCATTTGCTGTGTGTTTTTTTAAGAGCATAGTTAAGAGTTTATGAGCAGTTATTTTATGTACTAGGCTAGTTCCTACCTGAAGGATGTAGCCTCGAACATAGTCCCGGAGCGTCCAGCCCAAACCGTGTAGGATATGCAGCACTTCTTCCTGTTTCAACACACTGAAGAGTCGGTCTAGCAGTATCTTCAGCCTCACTGGCACGGCCTGAGTACCATAGAGCATCAGACTGCTGATGTCAAACACAACATTGGATTGTACAATCTCCACTTGTGTTGGATGGTACAGATGCTGAGTGCTAAGCTTGTCCAAAGCTGAAAAGAAATAGAAGATTGAGAAATAATATGAAAATAAATTTACTCTAACATAAAACTCTATAATTATGTTAGTGTGTGTAGGGTTCAGTGTGGGCTACAATTAAAAAACATCTTAGGACATTATAAGAACTCAAGGCAAGGCGTATGAAACACATACATAGGAATATTACAACATAGGGTTGTAGGTATAAAGTATCTGCTAGGTGTTAATATGTGTGTGTCTTTCTGTGTGTATACACTTTAAGGTGCCCTCACATTAATCAATTTTATGGCTAGACTCTATAATTTAAAGAGATAGAAACGTAATTCTGTAATAATGGTATTCACTGAGAAATTGTCAATCATGTGTACTAAAAATAATTAGTGTTAGAGATAAACCTATATACAAACTCAATCAATCACACATCCAATGATGTGGGTCAGAAAAGTTTCCAGGGCTTTATTTTTCTGCAGAAATATTTCCATGTCCTAAGTTCAATAATAAGCAACAATGAATAGATGTCAATTGCAAATACAGCATTAGACAACCTTGACAGTCTCTGAGTTTTGCCTACGCGACTGCCAGCATTTCATGCACAGTTCTTTGGGTTCTAACAGTCATCAGTATGTCAAAAGTTTTCAGAGCCTCTTCTTTCCCCTTGAATTTAAACAGTGGTGTAGTCATTAGATTTATAAAATGATTCCTGTAAAAGGTGCTACATAATGTAACATTTCAATTGCATTAAATTAGTTTTATTTTTTTCTTCAAATATTTCAGGCCAAATACATGATGCATTGGGGAGAAATGATGTAGGGTACGTCTTTTACCTTTTTTTTTTGATCACAAAATGCTAAACATTCTAAATTTGGTTGTTTTACCCAACTTGGTATTCTCCAGAGGATTTGGAGTACAACTCACATCATTTCAGACCATTGGCCATGCTGGCTGGCACTGACAGTACTTGCAGATTAATATATATAGCGGGCATGCAGTGGAAGAAAACTGAGTTAAAAACATATTTAAAATGGTAGCTGCTCTAGTAGATCAGCAAAATTCCAGTGCAAACAGATATTTTGCTGTGTTGCATTTAGTTGTTTTCTGGATGAAAACCTCCCATGCTTCCCCAGTCATGTGCTCCAGCTCTCCCCTTTCTCTCCAGCATTTCTAAAACTGACTTCACATTCTGTTAGACCTTTCACTCTCTGTCAGAAGGATGCAGACTGTAAATAGCCAAACTTTAGAAAAGATTACATTTGCTCTATGGAAGTCACTTCCAGATAGAAACTCATGTGTTTTAATTTTTCAAACAGCACAAATACCTATTTGATCAGACACAGTGGGGAACTACTAGCATTCAAAGATTCCTGCCATGTGTACAAATTGATATATATTAACTCATCATACAAATGATGCAGGTTCAACTCATTGCATAAACGAGCTACCTGCAGGATCCATGACCTTTGCTATACACAAGTGATTATCATGCAGGAACTTTTGTATCATGGAAAGGAACTTAAATACTAGCACATAACCCAGCTGAAAGAGGGTACTGGCAGCAAAGAAACATGGAAAGAAGATCACAAATAAACAAAACCATCAGAGGCCATAGGCATGTTTTACGGAGTACACTGTTCTTTCAGAACCATAAACTTTATTTCATAAGAAACAAGAATAATGCTACATAATGTTAAGTGCAAGGAACTTGTTCTATGGTGCATGCACTAGAATTTTGTTAGCCTTTAAAATGCTGTTGTAGGGGGTCCTTTTCCTCCGCATGTACTTTGGTATCTTCTTTGCTTGTGGTCACTGGAGAGCTCATGTATTCTTGATAAATTGCTTTCTTATATCCACAGTGTAAATGCCCTTATCATTTCCCTGCTGGCTTCATTCAGCACACTTGCCCCTGGGAATACTTTGTCAAAGAGTTCTGGTTTCCTCATACTTCATTTCTCGCTACTTTGTCTGATCTTTCCTATTCTAGCAGTTTAGTCAACCTTGAATAAATAGGTTTTTAAAAATTAATTTAAAGTTCAAAAAAGATAAGGGATTAGCAAGCTTGGGGACTGAAGCCCTCTGCCTCTCCACAGAGCATTCATGCTACAAAATATGAAAGGCAGGATTCTGCCAAAGGCACTCACACTGTATTATTTTATTTATATAAATTTACAAGCCAATTCTATCATTAACAACCAGAAAGGGCAACATCGGTTCAGTACAAACAGAAATCATAGCATTGCTACAACACACAGCTATATTCATGCAATTAGGCCATGTATTTATAAATCTTGATGACTAGATGAAAGCAACATTTAGGTTCAATGCAAACATATCATTCCCAATCTTCCAATTATGGTTATGATACTGGGAATATGTTGTGGCCTCTTACACTTTCCCTTCTGACAATTTGCAGTACTCTCATTTTCATAATTTGCTATAATAATGATTTAGCATTATATCTGCATTTGTACTATTACAGTTAATGCTCATCAAACTTCCTTGTACCCAGGATTAACAAATCAACATCATCTCCTACTATCTAACTCTTGGTACATAAGAAACCGTAGTTAGGGTTAACCATGGTTCACACTAGTAAAGCCAGAAAGCTACACAAAAGGAGTGATTAAAATATTGAATTCTCTACCACTACATCTGTAATGATGGTCACTACATCTTGTAGAGAATTCTATAGTCTAAAGGTTAAAAGGGGATTGAACAAATTAATGAAAGATAAGGCTATTAATGACTAGTAGTTCTGATGGACATATGTTGCCTCCAGTACCAGGGGCAGTCTTCCTACATGCTGTGCTTGCTGAAGAATCGTTAAAGGATAATATTGCACGCATGTGCCACTTGCAGGTTTCCCACTATCAAATGTTTGGCCATGGTGGGAACAGAATGCTGGATTAGATGGAATTTGCGGCTAATCCAACATTGTCTTTCTTGGCAAATCAGTGAAGGAAGAGCAGAATTCATGGAACATGTTGGAAATATGGTGAGCCTGCAACAGGCTCCCAGTCTTTTGCCCAAGAACATTACATCTTCACAGGCCTTAAACAGTGATGGAAAATATTTAGTATTGGAAAATGTTGGGTGCTGGAAAAGTTCCTTGAACAAATGTTCATTCTTCATTCTGCATTCATTATTCAGCAAGCTTTTAAATTAAGAGATTGTTTTTGCGTAACCATAAGCTTTAGGTGTGATTTTGTGAAGGTGAAGATCTATTAGGGATCTTGGATTAGTTATAAAAACAAACCTTTAACACTATTTCCCACGGAAGTATGGGATTTCTGTTATAATTACATAGTTGGTAGCAAAAACAAAACAAAACAAACTCCTATATATCATACATAGTGCCTCTTATATGACATAAATATCTGTACCTGGATGTATGGGTTAGATCCAACAGTGCTGGTTACTGAAATGGACATAATAAACCTGCATTTGGCTACATATGACCTGCCTAATCTTCAAAGCTAAGCAGGGTCAGACCTAGTTGAAATCTGGATAGGTGACTTAATTTTGTGAACCACCCAGAGAGACCCAGCTATGGGTGGTATAGAAAAATGTAGAAGTAGTAGAAATAATGATGATGATGATGATGATGAATGGTGTCACTTTCCTTTGCTGTCCAGATTTGGGTGGTAGAGCAGGAACAGAGGGAAGGCCCTGTTACATGCCAAGTCTGATTGGGCACTGTAACACTATCTATAAACGTAAGCACATACAATAACAACTATTTAGGACAGCCATCTAAAGCTGCCTTCCCTAAGCTGGTACTCCCCAGAAGTTTTGGGCTTGAGCTTCCGAAAGGTCCAACTAGCATAGGCAAATGTCAGAAATACTGGCAACTGAATCCTGTAGGATGCAAACGTATAACTGGAGAGGCTGCCTGCATCTATACCCAAAAGGAATTGAATTTTGACATGGCACCTCAATCCCACAAGTCTATAAGACAGGGGGCATACAAAGCTTCTTAACTAGTGGTTGGCATAGTTGGGCACCTGGTAAGGGCCCAGATACCATCAGGAACTCATTGACGAGAGTCCCCTGGACTCAGTTCTCTTCCCCATTGTACGATGCTTCTTCATTTTTGCTTTCTAAGGCCCAAAGTGGTGACAAAGGGGGTGGCGACAAAGTGAAGGAATCGATGCCACTGCCTACTTGCTCACTGGATCTAGTATCACTTAAGCCACTGGGACCAATGATGACAAAGAGGCTGAGCAATGGCAGCTAGTGACAATGGTGGGGAGGAAGAGGGCCTACTGAGGGAGGGAAACCCACCGAGAGTGTCTTGTCCAAGGGCCCCTCAGAGCTCAGAACTGGAACAGACTGTTGCTAATGGCTGGTTCAGACATTGCACAGGAACATGCCTTTGTTCAGTAAGCTCAGAAGGTGGATTAAGTATATAAAACGATAAAGTGTGTGTGGAACAAAAGCAGAAGTCAGCCCATTCATTCATTTAATCCACTACAAATGCCTATGAACACCACTGGGTCTATCCACCCAGACAGCACCTAAAACTCTTCTACTGTAAGATACATGAGGTATTACAGCTGATTTCATGCAACCATCTGCTTACTTTATATAGCCCTATGGGTGGATAAGAAGCTCCACAATTCACCTGAGCAACACTATTTGCTATTAGGTCTTTTGCTTTCAAAACAAGTTTCCATTACTTTAGATTCCATCCCAGTCCCTGCTCTCAATTTCTGGCTAGCACACCCAGTAGGAAATCCCAGCTGACTGCATGGCACTGAAAAGTGACAAGAACCTTGCTAGATCTTGCTAGGGTTCATCTAACTCAGCATTCTGTTCAGAGAGTGGCCACCCAGGTACCCAAGAGAAACCTGCAAGTGGGACAGGAATGCAACATCCCAGCAGCTTCATGGGATGACGAAGTTTCTAGTGTTATGAGAGAAGCATAGTATTATTGAGTAAGAGAGTCCAGTATGATGCCTCCCTATCCACTTTGACCACAGCCTGTGTTATTTGGCACCCCTCTATCATGTTTCCCGTT